TGCAGTCTATTTAGGAAATGTCTGCTGTGCTAAAATAAACAATGATATATTCGTGCAGCAAATCCTATTCCCAATACGTAGAACACCTAGAAAATGTTTGAGTGTTTTTAACTGTGGAAGTTAATAAATTGTTAATCAACCAGATTTGTTGCTTCTAGGGCTAAAGCTTTACTGTTCTAAATTGTTAAGTTTCTTACTAAATAGTAGTTAGAGCAGTTCAAAGAATTTGACAAACTTGCTTTTCTTTTCCTATTTGAGCCTGTTAACTCCTGACCTTGCCCACTGTACAGTAGTGTCATTCATGCTTGTTTCTCTTTCAGCCTCTCCATCTCCAGAAATAGTAATTTAGCTCCACGATGTCTCCCCAAGACCAATTAACTTTACCCAACCTTAAATGAAATTATTTTGGCCACCAAGAGCATTGCCCTTTGGCAAGTTATTTTTTCTTTTGGACAACTGATTTTTTTTTTCAGCACATCAAACTAAGTGAGCATTGAGTGAGCCCTGTACTTGCCTGGCCCCTGCTTACAGCTTATAGGAGTGAGGGTCTGCCTGTGCTGACCCAATGGCAAATGTGATGCCGCTCTCTAATAGAGCTGGGAAAAGTGCCGAGATCTCCTGCCTTACAGACCTGTGTTTTAGCCATTCACCCATGCTTCTTTGTTGACACCAAAAAAAAAGTTATTTTAAGCAGGAATAACTTAACAGATGTTTTGCAGTCTCAGTGGAGTCAGTGCATCAATTGCTCAGCACACAGAGCTGTTTTAAAAATGCCCTGCTTTGCTTTGCTACATTTTCGTCTCTCTTGCTGGACTTCTGTCAGCTTTTTCCCCTTGTTCAGTTTCTGGGAAACAGTTTATTTTCTGTCTTATCCTGCCTCTTCGTGTATTCACCCAGACTCCATTGGCATAGCTTGTATATGATTTGCAGTTCCAGTAACTGCTTTTTGCAAAGACAGAGAAACTCACCTATTTTTACTCAGTCAGCTCTAGAAGCCATTTCAAGCCACAGTCTGCAGTAAGTCTGTGCAGTACTGCAATACAAACGGTAGAGATGCTTTAAAATTAGTCCATTAGCTAAGGCACAGCACTACAACCTTCACTGTAGCTAGAATGACAGCAATATCCTGGTTCAGCTGGTGCTTTTGCTCCGTGTTTCCTAAGAACTGCAGTGGGAAGTGAGAAGAGGTGAGTTTGAGATCCTTGTTCGTACCTAGAAGGAAAAATCTGTTGTGTTCAGTGCACTGCTCGTGAAGTGGAGGAAGCAGCAAGGATGAGACCTCTGCTGAGGCTGGATTGGAGTTTGTACTAAAATAATAAAGCAAGCTGTTTCGAGAGAGGGAAAGCTGATGGAAAAACACCTACTGGAACTGGGGAGAGGTTATGAAAGGCCTGTGTCCGATGGACTGCTCTGAGGATGATTGTGTTGCTAAATGGGTCTTTCTTACTGGATGAATCTCTGCAGTGACAGGGTTTAAAATGCCTGCAGGAGACGGGTAGCGATTTTCAAGTGACTCACTCCCTGTCACTTTGCTAAACCTTGACTGATTAACTTTCACAAATGTATTGCCAGAGCCTGATCTTTTCTTAGGGGAAACCTCGACTTCCCTCTCTTTTTGCACTAAAATGTAGCATTAAGTTTGTGTTGTAGTCGAGATCTAACCACCCAGGAATGAAAAATCGGACTCCAGGCTGAAAGCCCATCCCTTTCTCATTTCGAAGACAACGTGGAGTAACATTTTAAAGGTGTTGATTCTTCTTAATAATCCCTATTAACAAGAAATCACTTACTGCTGATACTGATCTAAACTGTTGCCAGTGAGATGAATTAGGGAGAGAGAGCTGTTGATCTCTTGTTTTCCTGCTGGGCTTCTCGAGAACGTTGAAACATTTAGCTAATTCCTTCCAGGACCGTATCTCCTTGTTTTCTGATTCCAGAGAATAACTTTCTATGTGAAAATTCCTTGAATTAAGAAATAAAATTCTGGCCACAGATGCACTTTAGGAATTGCAGGGGTGTTATTTGGGAAAAACAATTACTTCAGTTCCTACAACGCTGCTAAAGGCGAGGGATTTGGTATCAGTCCCTTACAGCTGACAACTTATTCCTGTACAAATTGTGTGAATTCCAAGAAGTCTGTATAACCCTACCATGTGCAGTGTGTCTCAAGTACAAGCGGTGCTGAGCTGCACTTGCCCTGTTACCTGTAGGTGGAGTCGGAGCACTGACTTCTTCTAAAGGCTGGTCTGACACAGAGAAATGATACCAATACCAAGCTGCATAATCCAAACCAAGCCAACTGAGATCAAATCTTATTAGGAAGTCTTTCCTACACTCCTTAGCATGCCCCCGAACACTGAGAGGATGTCTGATTTCAGGTTGCCTTGCGGAAGTGCCTGTATGCTGTATTTTCCTCCAGAATGCTGCTTCCCAAGCACAAGGCTTTTCATATTGCCCTGTAGATGTGAAACACTTTGGGCTCAGGCAGAGAACTGTGTCAGGGTTGTCGCGTTGAATTGTTCCTTGGAGAAGACTGGGCGCAGGACAGCACATCAGCGTGCCGTGGTGTGTGCCAACAGCCTGGGTGCTGTCAGAAGTCCCAGGAAGACCTTTTACCGCCACCTGACCCTGTGGCTGTGCTGGCTGCAGAGGCTGTTCTTTCTGTGGGGCTGCAGAAGGGAGGACTTGTAACAATGGGGTGTCTGTGCATGCGAGCCCCCCTTGGCCAAAATTAATGTGCTGGGGGTTAATTCCTGTACATGCTCTTGCACTTCCCCTTAATCCAGCTAATGAAAGGTTTAAAGGCCCTGCCTGGCTCTGGGCTGCTGGAGCCTCTGCCAGAGCTGGGCTGTGGTACTGCTCAGCCTCAGCCAGCTGCGGTTGTGTCCTCTGTCCAAATCGCTTTCTGAACTGGCTCCAGGGCTCCAGCTGCTGTTCCAAGCCGCTGTCTTATCCTGTCATGCATCTGCTCGTGATGCAATTCCCACAGGAATGGTGAAGTGTGGGGAGGAGGGGAACATGAGAGCAGCAGTGTGGGCTGTAGTACATCTACTCCTATTGAGAATGAGCACAGTGCAGTCCTGGGGTTTGGACCCAAAGCTGGTGCCCAGAACAGCCTCTGGAAAGCAACAGCAGCAGGTTGAATCCCACTGGACATCTGGATTCCTTGATAGCTGTAGCTCTGAGATATAGGAGGAAAATAAACAGATCTGAAGAAGTTAAGGGATCTGAGGAAGGGAAAGGATGTTTTGAGTATGTGGAGAGGGGTGCTATGTTGATGTGTGGAGTTACTTCATCCTGTGGCTTTTCCTGATCTCTCAGTGCAGACCATCTTGGTAGACCACCTAATAAAGAGCCCTAGTCAGAGCCAGTTTCTACAAGTAGTGGTTCAAGTTTTAGCTAATTTTAATGCTTTCCCTCATGTTAACTCAGGACTGTTCTGCCTGTTCAGGGCTCCCTGTGACCATGCCAAACTCTGCAGTGCCAGTATCCAGCTCCCTGTGACACCAGTGTCACGGAGCAGTGTGGCAGCACTGTGCCCATTGTATAGATCAGGCCAACTAAAGCACCAAACTGCATCCAACAGTGGCAGAGTTTAAACCCATCTTTTACCTGCCCTCTCCTGTAATCTTTGTGTGGGTCTCTCAGACCCTCTTAGAGCAGAGTATTTTCTGGCTAACCTGCTGTCTCTCTAACATCTGCTGAAGTCTCTGCGTCCTTCCATGCCCCACCCTGCATTAGGGGCTTTGTGAGCAGCACCCAAGGGGTCCTCTTCCATTTGCAGGGATAGGAAGGAGGTTGGAGCCCCTTATCTGTGCAATCCTACCTTGGGGTGTGTGTGAGGTTGGTCCCCTTGGGAAGGAGGGATAGAGGCTGCAAGCAGCTTCCATTCACCCGCAACCTTTCATCCTATGTCCCAGGGCCACAGCCACCCTGTCTCCATCCCTGTTTACTGATGGGACCGATATGGCCGAATCAGGAGAGGTTGCAGGTTCCCTTAATCGCCTTGTCACTGGGCCGGACAATCTCAGACACTGAAAGGATGTTTTGACTGCGCTGAATTACAATGTTTGTTGTTTCTCACTCCCAATAATTGACATTTGATAGCGACTCCTGTAAAAGCGGCCGGGAGGCTGGGGCTGAGGCCGAGGAGAGGCTGGGAGCCGGGCAGCGGGAGCCCCGCTGGCTGCCGGGGCAGGCGGGGGGGTCCTTTCTCGTCTCCCTGGTAGGCACACAGTGCGGAGGGGCTGTAGCAACCTCCCGCAGATGGACTGTGCGCGGCTCCCCTCCAGCAGAGCCCTATCCCCTCGGCTGGGGAGGGGGTGTTTTGGTCCTCCCTTGCATCGCTCTTCTGTGCGGGGAAGAAACCAGCCTCTCGCTCCCGGGGACTCGGAGCGACCGGGCCACGGCCCAGGGCATTGCAGGGCTGCCCGGGCTGTGAGCTCAAAAAGCGGCTTTAAATTGTGTGTGTATATATATATATATATATATATATATTTTTTTTTTTTTTAATGCGTTAAAATACAAGCAGCGTTTGCAGGCTTCAGAAAGCGAATTGTTTGAAATTACGGGAGGGCTACGCAAAGCGGGGGGGGGGGACCGGCAGGCCGAGGGGCCCGGAGCGGACAGGTGAGAGCCCCCGGGAAGGGCGGTCGTAAGCCGGGGGATGCTGGGGAGGACCGGGTGGACCGGGCCGTGCAAGGAACGCCAGGGACGCGTAAGGTTAAGCCACTCTCTTTAATGACAACTCGCTGATCTCCATCAGCTAGTACAGCAAAGGGAAACACGTATGAACGGGCGGAGGGGCAAGGGGCGGACAGTGCATTTCAATACTAACGGTTTAGTGCATAACCCTACGGGGACCTGGCAGGTCGCAATGTCTGTATTCTCGGCCGGGGTGTGTGTAGGGGGGTCTGTCCTCCCCCGAGCGCTGACTGGAGCCGCCGCAGGCCCCTCTCCCGGCCCGGTACCGGGGCGAGGCCGATGTCGGCTTTGGCGTGAGAGGTCCCGCGAGCGGAGACCTGGGGGCTTGGCGGGATGCTGAACTGGCCAGACACCGGGGACAGGACTGGAAGTGCAAAAATTAAATGTGGATCTCGATAATAATTAATATAGAGTAAAAATTTATAAAAGTTGCAGGGCTTGGGTAGCTGCTGTTGGGATCAAGTCAAGCGAAATGCCCGGCTGCTTTAGAGGAAGGAAGGAGGGGAATTACCGGGGATAGCTGGTGGAAGGGGGATCCGGGAGCTGCGGGAGGCTCCCCGCTCTGCTCCCGCCGGCAGCGCAGCCGTCGCACGAAATACTGGAGACCCCCTCCCTGTGGAAATGGCCGCCAGGCTAGTGACCTCCGCCGGGATGCTGCATTGAACTGTCCTCACCCCCCCGTAGCCTGGATATGTCCCGAGACCGGCTCGCAGGCGCGGCCGGGGCCCCTTCATCACCGGCGCCGGGGTCTCGCCGGTGGCCGTGGTCCACGGAGGGGAGCGGGGCAGGGGCGGCTCTACCAGGCTCGGATTCCGTGTAACGTGGAGATCCCCGCGTTTCCCTGCGGGATGGGTGTCTGCACGGAATTCAAGTCCCCTACGCTGAAGTTCATGAAGTTGTTGCCGGCTGCCGAGGGCTGCATGGTCTGCATGGACGGGTAGTTGCAGTTGTAGTTGGCGTTGCAGGCGGGGCTGTTGTAGTTGGTGTACGCGGGGTAGGCGTTGTAGCTATAGGGGTTAATGCTGACATTGTACGGCGAACTGTAGGGAGAAGACTCCCCCAGGCAGGGCTTCCCATCGCGGACCAGCACCGGCACCGCTATCCGCCGGGGGGGAGGGATGCCCACCATTTCGAGGGTCTGATCCTGTCTCTGCCTTTTGCATTTATACCTTCGATTCTGGAACCAAATTTTCACCTGGGTGGAGGTGAGCTTTAGGACGTTCGCTAGATGGTCTCTCTCGGGAGCCGAGAGGTATTTCTGCTGCTTGAACCTTCTCTCCAGTTCGTAGACTTGGGCTTGAGAAAAGAGGACGCGAGGTTTCCTCCTTTTCCTCTGTCTGGGGCGCTCGGGATCTTCCAGGTCTCTCTTCTCCTGCTCCAGGCTCTTGTGCAGGGAACACAGTTCTGCAGGACAATAAACGGGCAAAGGAAAAAGGAGAAGGGGGGGAAATGCGCAGAAAAAACATAAAGCAACATTCAGTAAACAGCCTACACCACGACTGAGCCCCGGCTCTTTCCCAGCAATTGCCGGCCTCACTGTGTCTCGGCCCCGCAGGCCGCCGCGGCCACCGGCCCTGCCGCACTCTTTAAGTATCTCTTTAGCAGTTTTCCGTCGGTCTTTGCGTTTGAAAAGGATGCTCGTTGCACTGATTTTAGTTGCAATTGCTTCTGCCGCAGCCTGGGTTTATCGCGGTTGGTCTTTGTACTGAATCCCACCCTGACCCACGGGCGTAGTCAGCAGAGCGAATTAGGAAATAGATTTGTCGCCTAATTTCTGGACTCGAGGCCTCACTTATCATCCTGCAGCCTTGCCCGGCCCGTCGGGCAGCCGGCATGGCAGGGACCCCAGCCACAGCCGTGGTCGGGGACCACGGCAGGGGCCTCCGGGCCCGGTCAGGGGACGCTGCCCGCGGTGGCTCTGCCCGCTGCTGCACCACGGGCCTGCGGGGGGGAGGAAGATGCTCTGTCCCCGGGAGCTCCAGGCTGGGGATCCCCTTCCCCCCCTCCTCCCTCTTTCTCAGCTCGGCCAGCACCGATGTTCTTTACCTTTCTTGTCCGCCTTGGCCTCCTTGGCTGAGTCCATCTCCACGTAGCTCTTAACGTAGTAGGAACCGGGGAAGGTGGTTTTGGCTGCTTCGGGCAGCTCCTCTCGCGGGCCGGGTAGGGTCGGGGGTTCGGCGCCGAACGCCTCTTGCTTGAAGGTGGCCAGCATGCAGGATGGGGAGGCCAGCGAGGAGAGCTCCATGGAGGCCAGGCCGCTCTGATGCTGTTCCAGGTTCAAAATATCCTTGACCGAGAAGGGCGTCGTTGTCACAGGGCTAGGAAACATTGTGGAGGAAAGCAGGGCAGCGGCGGGAGCTCAGGGTCATGGAAAGGGAGTTGAGAAGCAGCCAACCTGGAGCAGTGGTGGAGCGTGGGCTCACGGAGGGGGCACATAGCATTCCAGCGAATAGCCTTGATTTGTGCACTGGAGGCAGGTAGGACCAGACCATAAGGGAAGGGAAGGAGGGACTAGGCAGTTTTTGGGTGACTTTAGCTTTCTATTGGCCAACATTGCAGTGATGGTATGAGAGATGCAAAGTTACATGTCACCTAATATAGTAATACATCTCAAAAACATCTCCACTCATTTAAAGGGGCGGCACTGTATTTATCCAGCTTTTCCCGGCTGAGTTTGTTGATCCATTAAAAAAAAAAAAAAAGAGGAATCCAGAATGGCCTAATGTGTACAAAGCCACTATCTGATGCCATCTATCATACAGTCAGATTAAATAAACAGGCCGGGAGGAAACCATCAACCAAATATGTGCTGATTTCATTTTTTTTAAGCGAGGGAATGGAGGTTTCGATTTTACTGTTCTACAATATCCGATCGCAGGAACTAGAAAACGGGAGTTCACTGCTGTGTGGAGCGTGCTTACGGTTTATATAGATATTCTGAAGCAGTGCCTGCAAATTCTGGCTGATAGGAGAGAGCCCCTAAATAGGGGGGGGTTCCCTCCCCCCGTGAACCTTTCAAACAAACCCCCAGCACTGTCTGGGGAAGAAAACGTAAAACCGCGGTTTGGAGGCGGTGTAAAATATACAGGGGTCCTGGAGAGCAAGTCAAAGCAACCGGCCGCTGAGCTGCTGCCGGGAGCGGGGGTGAGTCCTAGAGCGGCCGTGTCCCGCAGGATCCCCGGGCAGAAGTGGGACCTCAGTGACTTAACGCATTTGTAGTCGCTAACATAAACGTTAGCGACAAAGTCTCAGGTTAAGAAGGGGCGTTACAGTGCTTTCTGGCTTCTAGGGGCGAGGAGCAATATAAGCATATAAAATCAATCTCCTCCAGCGCTCCACTGCCCGGCCCCGGGAGGCGAGGGACCGGCTCGTCCCCTCCGAGCCCCGGTGCAGCTGAGGGCCGGGACCCGAGTGGAGGAGCCCCGCGACATTGCGGTGAGTTGCGGGGTCCCTCGGCAGTGCCCTGCTCGAGTTCCTCCTCCCCCGGCAGACGGAAGAAACCCTCCGAGGAGAGAGAAAAGGCGGCACCTGCCCTCTCTGGGCTGCTCCTTCCTGATGGTACCTGCTACTGCTCCCCTCCCCACTTCTCCCTTTGTGACTCGGGCTCTTGTTTGGGCGATTCAGTGCAGGATATTCTGAGGGGCGATGCTGTGGCTTTCTCCCGCTCCCCGGAGACCGCCGGCCGGTGCAGCAACAGCCCCAGAGCTCGCAGCCTCTGGCTGCAGCCGTCCTAGGATGTCCTGTGCGCGGTTTCCTGGAGAACCGGACCTTGCAGTGACAGTTGGAGCGATTATTGGGTACTGGGAGGCCTGAAATATTGTTATTTAATGAGGAGCGGCCAAGAGGCCGTCTCGTTCTTCGCGGCTGTGCTTCCTGCAGAATTCCCTGGGAAACCGGGGTTTTCCTCCATTGCAGGAGAAGGGGTGAAGTGTCCGGGGAAGGCGGAGGCGATCTTAGTCGCCTGGCTCAGGAGAGGGGTCTGTGGCAGGACTTTGCCTGGTGTCAGCGGCACCCCTTGCAGTCTGCATCCCCCGGGGGTCTTTCTAATGGCGTTTCCTCTTTTTTTATTACAATCTAATAGGAATAGGTTAGATAAATACTAAAATATCGAAGCAATCCCATTGTGTTGTGTGTTCCTCCCCCCGTTCCCCCCCCCCCCCCCCCCCCAATAATCCGTGGCATCCACCTCCCTCGGCAAGTTTCAAACAGGTTCCAGCGCTCCCGTCCTCCATCCTGGGCCCAAACCGCCCTTCTCGGGTCGGGTCCGGAGCCCACAAGGCAGTGCACAGCGAGCCCAGAGGGGAAAGCGGCCCCCGCCCGGTGGGGATCCCGGTACCTGCCCCGGAGCGCGGTCCCGGCGGCGGGCTCTGCCTCCAGCGGGACGGGAGCTGCTGGCCACAAACTGCCATTAATCGAGGGCTGACGGGCTTCCTCCAGACCCCCAATCACACGGCGGCTCCCGATCGATGTGGGCCCGGCTGTAGAGGGTGGAAGTGATTAATTGAACGATAAGCCAGAGCTATCATTTGGAATGTCATTAATGCGTCGGGGAGACATTCATTGGAGACAGACAGCGTTATCTCCGCTTTATCTTCAACAATGCATCACTTTTAATACTGCGGTTTAGAAACAAATGGGGGCTTTAGCCTTAGCCCTTCTCTTCGTGTTTATATTTTTGGAAGAATCACAACTAGTGGGAGTCCCGGGTTCGGCCCCCTGATAAATGAACATTAGCACTTTTTAGAACTACTGTATCAACAAAAAGAGCTGCAGGGCCGCAATAATTGGTGAAAAAGCAAACACTCTGAAAAGAGAGTCCAGGTCTGCTCTGTGTCCGGTTGATTGATGTTACTGACATACAGCAGCTCACGGACTTTCCGGGTCGGGGCTCGGCACCCGTTCCCCTCCTCCCCGGTTTTCTCCCTTTCCCGGTGCTCCCCGCAGCTCGCTGAAGGCAGGCTCCGACTGCAAACGACGTCTTGGCCGAGGGCAGCTGAGCAGAGGGGACATAAGGGACCGGTTCAGGAAAAGGGTTCCAGTTCCCTGAACCCACGGGCAGGGGCGAGGGAAGCCCCCACGCGGTCTCCCCCGACTGTGCCCTCTTTGGATCATATTTTAATGGCCGGTCCATGGATGAGAAATCATAATCGCGTTTAAATAACACGGGAGAAGGAGTATATGGAGTCAGGGACCCCGGAGGAGCGCCCTGAAGCACCTTCTCCAATCCACCCTGGACCCAGGCCCCTCGGGAGTTCGCGGGAGAGACGGGATGAGCAAAGCCGCTGCTTTTTCTGGCTGCAAGGAGAAAGCGTGGGGTGCCCTGGCCCCCGCCTCCCCCCCCCCCCCCCCCCCCCCCGTTTAGAGGTTGCTCTCGCTGCCCCCGGGCCCCCGCACCCAAAGAAAGCCTCTCGCAGGCGAGGATTGTCTTCCTCACCCGGTTGCTGCACCTCTCCGGGATTGCTAAATGCGTTTTTCTTGCTGAAAACAAACAAACAAAAAACCCCACCCAGCCACGCCATTAGCTCCGGAGAGCACATCCTCTGCCCCTGAGCTTTCGACACCTCGGACTGCTCAGAGAGAAAGAGAGATGGGGCCTTTTAAAAAAGTTTTCCTCTTAATCCCAGTCGGTTACGATGTCCAGGGCCCCCTCCCGCTCTAATTCCCGGCTATCTCCCGAGGACTCTGTTTATACCTCACCAGTAAACGCCGGGATTTGAAACCTTGTCACTAATTGAGTGCTAACACTTCAGGTGCTATAGATTTGTTAAGAGGCAGTAGCCCAGAAATAGCCTATTAGGGTTTCCTTGAGGAGAAGTTGTGCCAATTCCCCTGTTCCCATCGTGGGAGGCAGCAGCCGCTGGGACGACGGGATCTCTCTGGGTCCCCGAGGGCTCCCCAGGGTCTTTTGACCAGTTATTTATTTCAAACGATTATGAGGGATGCTATACAATAGCGAGCCCTAGTTGAATAAATTCTTCCGGCGCGGTCGCTGGGCTACCGCCCTTGTCCGCCGTGGCGGGGTCTCGCCGGGGTGCGGGGGGACCGCCCTGAGGCTGGGGCCGAGGATGGGTTCCTTTCTGGATTTCTACAGGGAAAAACGGCTCTGGAGCTGTCCAGGTGCTCCACTCTGCTGCAGCTAAACCCTTCTTTTCTTGCTTCTCTTTTTCCTCCTCCCTCCCCCGTTTTTCCTTTCTTAATTTCTATTTTTATTTCGGTTTATTTCCATTATTCCCCTGTTCCTCTCGGGCTCTAACGAACCCGCGTTTCACGCTGCCCCGCTCCGCTCCCCGCACCGCGATTGCTGACGGCGAAAGCGGCTTCCCCGTCGTCGAGCATTGCGCAAGAAAAATAGTTTTGACCTTGCAGTGAAGGCGGCCTTGGCGCGGGGCCTCGGCTCTGCCCGGTGCTCAGGACCGCTGCGCCGGGAGCCAGGGGGTGTGCTCTGCCGGTACAGCCCCGCTCAACTGCGGCGGGGCAGGTGCGAGGCGGCCGCTCCGCCGCTGCCGGACCCCAGCTCGTACCTGCCATGCACTGGGGACGGGGGACTCGTGGACCCCTTTCCTCCATACAAACAGGGGAGAGAGAGGTGGAGAGCAGCCGAACGATGGTGCCAGGGCACAGCAAGCAAAAGCAGCAGCCAGAAAGCACCGGAGCGTCTTCTCTTTGTTTCAGGACAATTTACGCCGGATAAACCCGTCCCGTGTGGTTTCGGATGGCCACACCCGGGCCCTCTCCTTGAGCAAGCCGCAGGCAGTCCGGGACGCTGCTCGGTCGCTGCTTGCCGCTTCCGATGGTGTCTGGGGCTGGGGGACTTGAGCAGCAATTGCCACCGTGGATTTTACCCTCCTGCCCTGGGCTCCGTGACAATTAATCTGACAAATTGGCTTTTGCACCTCGGGCGCTGGAGGTGGGTTTTTCAACCCCGGGGTGAAGTGAAAGCTGGGAGCCAGTCAGATAAATCAAAAGCTTTTATTTTACCCTGCCTATAACTTTTTCTGCCGTAACTGTGCTGGGTTCTCTGGTGATAGGAGCGCAATGGGGGTTTTCGCCGCCCTTCCCGGTACCCCTTCCAGCACCTGCGGCCGCTGGCCCCGGGTCCCGCAGCGTTTCCGCGCCCGAGGGAAAGGTTTTTAACGCGGCCAGTTCATTACAAAAGCGCCTGTTCGTTACGTTTCCTAGGGGAATGCGCCCAGGGCAGAAGCGATGCGGTTATTAGGGACGGGGAAAATCAAACGACCGAAGAGACTTTCACGTGTAATAAAATTGCAGCAACGGTTTGACAGGGGCGTCCAGTAACCAGGGCGTAACAGTGTCTAGCGACGGTCAAGAAAACTGAGTTAAAAACGAAATACCTTCCAGGCACTATGAGGCGTTTGTTTGAAGGACAAAGCTCTAAATGCGGCGGGGCTGCCTTGCCCCATCCCTCGGAGCTTTGTCCCGATTCACCTCCCGCCGGCTCCGGTGGGAATAGGAGCCGCTCTTGGCAGGGAAGTCTGAAACCGCCGCAGGATTTCAGGGTGTTTGCAGCTTGTCTGTCCGCACGATGTTTTCCAGAGGAGATAAAGGTCTGACTTCTCGGATACTTCCTGCTGGCCGTGCAAATCCGATCCGTCTTGCGATGTCACTATGCG